TTTTTTTTTTTTTTTTTGCAGTGAAATCATTCTAATAGCTTTAAAATATATACTCGTTAATTGCTATGCATAAAATGCAATTAATTTTAATTAACGTAATTCCCTCATTCCAGTTAAATATGACATATTATTTAGACGTACCATTAAAATATGATATAGATATATATATAAGGTGAGAAATGGTGCTAAGTTTGTCAACTAAGTGCTAATTTGTCAAATTTAATTCATCTCAATTGTAATTATTACTAAACAAAATTTTCAAATAATGAAAAAGATACAAACTATAATAATAAACACTTAATTAGCAGTAGCTTTTTTTTTTTTTTAAAATTTACTTATTTAACATTTTGTAACAGAAAATTAATTAAGTTAAGAAAATTAAGAAATAACATCAAATTCGAGTTAGTTTAGTAATGAACAGTACACAATTCGTTTCATTACAGAATTTAATAATTCATTTGAATATTTTATTGATAACAAAAAAAAAAAAAATAAACAAACAAACAATCAATTATGATAATAATATAAAAGATGATGTAGGATGTATACATTAATTAAGCTCATTAAAATTTTCACATTTCAAAACATTGTTGAATCAAAGTTTCATCTGAAATCTCTATTAAAAAAAAAAGGAAGGAGGTAATTAATTGTTTAGATATAATCTTCAAAAGTTTAAATTTAATCGTAATAAATTTAAAATCAAACAAAAAGAAAAAAATTAAAAAGAAAAATTCTTTTAAGCAAATCTTTTAAAATTGTTATCAAAAAAATTCACCGAAATTTAATGATATTTAAATTACTGTTATCACCCAACTTTTCCCTTTTTTCATTTCCAATATAATTTTAAGGAATATAAATTACTCAAAGTTAATTACTTGTTATTAAATGGATATACATATATTTTTTTTAAATTATAAATTTACATTCAAAATTTTCCTCACCCATTTTCGTTGCATTTATCATCCCACAGGTAAACTCTTCATCTTCATCCTACAGGTAAATTCTAATCTTTTAAATTTTCTTTTTTTTAAATCCCAATCTTTTCATCGCTTCAATTATTTTTAAATATAATTTTTCTTTTTTTTTTTTTTAGGTGTAAGATTGAATTAAATAATTGTTATTGTTATCTTTTATGATATTAAAATGATAATATACATATTAATGAAAACGAATTGTTATAAAAGAAAAAAAAAACATTCCAATATTTTTGTTAAAAAAGTAAACTTACCTTATCTGGTTCATTTATTAGTACGTCATATGTAACTGTTAAATTGCCCGTACCCGTAAAAGATGATTGAAGTAAGTGAATGTAGCACGTTTTCAAAATTATAAATTCACGTTTACACGTCATGCTACTATCACTTAAAAATCAATCATTAAATATTACTACAAAAATAAACAAACAAACAAACAGTCAAAAAAAAAAAAGAAAAAAAGAACAGACTATAAAATAATTAAAAAAAAAAAAGAAAAAAGAAAAACTGAAAATTTTTTTGAATAATATAACATTTTATACTGGATGAAATAAATTTAAAAAGTAAAAAAGGAGAAGAAAAAAAAAACAAACGACAAAATGATACATTAAATTAATTAGACCAATTAATAATTAATAAAATATATGAAATTTTTATTTATACAATTAATTTTCATTTGTTTACTATCCCTGCTTCATTACTTTCTTTTCGCTTTTTTTTTTTTATTCATTTTTTAAATTGGAAATAATTTTCCATAATTTAAATCGATCCAATTTATTCTCGCCATTTGATTAAATCAATCTGTGGAATTGCTGAACATTGTGTAAGCTGTCCTTGTGGTACCAAAAAAGCATCCTTTGAAATGGTACCAAAATTATCACCATTATTGCAAATGATACTAGCTAATGTGACCTTTTGAAGTTCATCCAATTGCGCAGCAGTAAAAATACCAGGATTTTCGTAGTAAAATCTAAAATTTTTTTTTTTTAAATGAAAAAAATAAATAAATTTTTATTTTTTCTTTCATTTAAAAAATGAAAATAAAATAAGAAATGAAATGGATAAGATTGTAAAAATTACATAAATTGCTAAAATTAAATATTTTTTTTTAATTATTTAAACATTACAAAAAATTTCTTTAAAAATATTTAAAATTTTTAACATTTTAAGATTAATTTTTTTTTGGGAGAAATAAAAAAGAAAATGAAATAAAAAGAAATTAAATGAAAAATTTAAATTAAATGTTAATAGTAATATTGAAAAATGATATTTTTCAGTAACTTATAAAAGATATTGTATTAGTAAATGATGATAAATATTATGCTTACATCAAAATTTTTCAATATTTAATTGAATTAATAAAATCATAATTTTACTTTTTTTACTAAATAAAATAATTTGTGAAACTTATATTACCTGTCACCATCACGTAATCTTTTAAATTGATCACCAATTAAACAAGCCAATGTTGTACCGACTAAACCACCAATAACTGGATCTTCAACCATCGTACCAATATATAAATCAATATCATCTATAATCATTTAATACTCAAATCATCAATTTTAAACTTTTTTCTTTTTTTTTTTTTTGAGAATAATTTCTAGTAATTTTAGGAGAGAAAAAAAAAATCAAAAAATTGAAAGAATTTTCTAATCTTTTGAAAAAAGACGAAGAAATTAAAGGTAACATATGTAAATTTTAAAAATAAAACTTTAAAGTTTTATATATTATAAGAATAAATTATAGACAAAAAAAAGAGTGTGTGAAAAAAAGAGATTTAAGAGTTGAAAGTATTGAAATATAAGCATAAATTAAATATGGGAAAAGTTTGAAGTTGAAAGAAAAAAAAAAAAAGTAAGGAATTGATGAAGCATCACTAAACGAATGTTATTAATTGTTAAGTTACTAATTATTAATTAATTATTAAGTTATTAAGTTATTGTTGAAAATTTAATTTAACCATTAAAGTTATAAATTACCGAAAATTTAATAGCAATAAAATTTCTAATTTTATTTAAAATTTAATTATATATATATTCTAGTAACAAATTGCAATAGTTAAATTATTATTATAAAAATAATTCCACAAATTTCAATAAGCATAAATTAACAAATCAGATAAGAATTAAAAAAGTATTTGATTAAAATTTCATATTTTAATCAATAATGCTGCGGATAAACATGAAAAAGTTACGTGATAAAGGAAAATATAAAGAATTATTGATAAATGTGTAGTGATATACTAATTAGCGTATATCGTATTGGATGATAAGATTAAAGATTAAAAATTATCCAAACTCTTTTCTATATGAGTAGGATGCTATCATTGCATAGAATTGTATATATGCTTATTGTTTAGTAATGTACCCTAAATGAAATGCTTTTACCAATGTATACTAATAAACAATGCTTTATTAGCATAAGCTAATAAAAGGGCTAATCTTTATAATTGTCAAAGTAATCCTTGAAAGATGTAATAAATATAAATCCTACAGATAGAAAGAATGAGGATATTCCTCCTTTCTTTTATTCTCTAGATTGATATATCTTCAAAATTCTTTTTTTTGTGGTGACATTTTTTTGGAAATAGCTTTATGCGTTAATTTTTGTGATTCGTAATTCCTAAATGATTATGCTATGCTAATATTGTTTAATT